GCCGCCAGTGGCACTGCCCGGGGTGTTGTGGGGCCGCCAGTGGCACTGCCCGGGGTGTTGTGGGGCCGCCAGTGGCACTGCCCGGGGTGTTGTGGGGCCGCCAGTGGCACTGCCCGGGGCGTTGTGGGGCCGACAGTGGCATCAAATAATGGAGAAATTTAATTGACATCACGAGGCCACGAGGCCGTCCGGTGTGGCAGAAACACAGCGGACTAATCATTGTTCCCGCGTCCGAGTCTCAAACGTCGTGTTTGATAACGTGGAAATAATTGTTGAAAGTATCTACCCTTGCATAGGCTCCTGTGGCGCAGTAGTCCCCGCTCTATGAAAACAACCGCAACGTTCCGGGTTCAATTCTCGCGGAACGACAGAAGCGATTGGGAAAGTTTTACTATATCTGTCTATCTTTTTTAAACTAAGACTAGGGCTCATGAGGGCTGTCAACTGAGGTATCTGGTGAAACTGCAAGCAAGAGTTGTTATTCTACCTCAACTCATCAGAAGCCTGCTCCTAGACACTGATTTATTTCATGATAATGTACTTTGAAACTATCACATACGGAGCTATAATATAACAGCCCGTCCTCATAAACAAAGGGTAAAGTCCATTCCATGCACCCGCCAAACCCCCTGTTTATGAATGAAAAACGGTTTACACACGACTCACAACTGCTGACGTTCGAACATATCCGGAACAAGTGCTTCACTGACGATTTTTAGTTCGAACCACAACGCTGTAAATGTGGGGGTTAAATCTAATCTAATCACCCACGTACTACAAATACAAATAATCGCCAACAGAACCTAAACACCTAACCTAATCAATGCCTAAATATGCACAATATGCTTATATATAACAATATCAATTTATATTTGAGAAAATTCTTGTTTTGAATGAACAGCATGTTAAAATTTATGAATGCGTCTGTGGGGTCGACCGCTGGATGGAATGGACTTGAGTCGAGGACGGGTTGAAATAATCGCCAACAGAACCTAAACACCTAAGCTAACCTAACCTAACCTAACCTAACCTAACCTAACCTAACCTAACCAGTGCCTAAATATGCACAATATGCTAATACATAACAATATTAATTTATAGTTAAGAAAATTGCTATTTTGAATGAACAGAATGTTAAAATTGATGAATGCGTCTTTGGGGTCGACCGGTGGATGGAATGGACTTGATCTGAGGACGGGTTGACTATAGAGAACCTGGTGAAACTGGGCGGTCTCGGTCTCGGCTCTCTCTCTCCCTCCCTTCACAGTACAAATAAAGCAGAACATGCTATTGGTAGTTGTCTCTGGGCTCGTTGAATGACAGCACTACCTCATCAGCCGAGTCATTAGAGTCGATACCGAGGTGACAAAGTATCCAGCAAAACTCTACTTTCTATAATTCCCTAGAGATACAGACATCATCAAATTTCTGTATCCAAGGGAATAAAGGTCTTACAACATTCAGAGACCAGATGGGTGTTGTTGTTGAGTCTGCAAGAACAACAACAAAAACTTTGATTTAGTAACGCTAGTTTGTGGTTAATTCCCAGAGTAAGAGAAGCATGAACACTATGGAAGATCAAATGAGCTTCCAAATGCTGTGAGATCGTTCTCTAACCCAATTATTATTCCAGACTTCCCCGGAGTGTTTCTGAGCGCTTAAACTGTTTAATAAATGCACAAGTTAAGTCGCCATGACTCAGGAATCATATACAGTTGTTGTTGTTATAGATTCAGCTACTCGGAATAAGTTCCAAGTAGCACGGGCTATGGTGAGCCCGTAACTTACCTGGCACAGGAGCGGGGCAAGTAGCACGGGCTATGGTGAGCCCGTAACTTACCTGGCACAGGAGCGGGGTAAGTAGCACGGGCTATGGTGAGCCCGTAACTTACCTGGCACAGGAGCGGGGCAAGTAGCACGGGCTATGGTGAGCCCGTAACTTACCTGGCATAGGAGCGGGGCAAGTAGCACGGGCTATGGTGAGCCCGTAACTTACCTGGCACAGGAGCGGGGCAAGTAGCACGGGCTATGGTGAGCCCGTACCTTATCTGGCACAGGAGCCGGGCAAGTAGCACGGGCTATGGTGAGCCCGTAACTTACCTGGCACAGGAGTGGGGCAAGTAGCACGGGCTATGGTGAGCCCGTAACTTACCTGGCACAGGAGCGGGGCAAGTAGCACGGGCTATGGTGAGCCCGTAACTTACCTGGCATAGGAGCGGGGCAAGTAGCACGGGCTATGGTGAGCCCGTAACTTACCTGGCACAGGAGCGGGGCAAGTAGCACGGGCTATGGTGAGCCCGTAACTTACCTGGCACAGGAGCGGGGCAAGTAGCACGGGCTATGGTGAGCCCGTAACTTACCTGGCACAGGAGCGGGGCAAGTAGCACGGGCTATGGTGAGCCCGTAGTGGATTTACCGGGCACGGGAGCGGTGGGTTCATATACAGGTTTCGTATCTTTGAGTATAAACTTGCGTGGTATAGTGGTCTAGAGTTTACGGGCTATTCATGCCCGTGCCACCTCTTGGGAGGCCGGATCTTTATCAATCAATCTGGTCTAGAGCGTGCCTGGGCATAGGTTCGAATCCTCTTCATGACTCCTACTGGTTTTCTCCAAAAATATATCTGAATAAACATTAATAGTAGATCTATACTGTATTTATGTTTCTATACTTTAGTAAAATAACTGATAATTTTAAACGTGTAATTATATTCCAAAATATTCCTTATTTGTTATGACAAATACTCAACAAATATTAGAAAGCATTAGGAAGGGTTTTACAGTGCAGTAAATGTGAACAAATAACATGTGGGTCTTACAGTCTAACCTTTACCACTCTCAAGGCCAGTGAAAATGGCGTCTAATTATTTCAAGGCAGTCGTAGAACACTCCGAAGGAGTTAGCAATAAGTTGAACTGATTAAAGAACATATCTGGAACACTTGGGGGGCGTGCGGGTGTCAGGAGACACGACAGGGGGCTCCGCTCCTCACTGCCTAAGACAGAGGACACCACATCTCTGCCTCAGAACTGACAAGAGATCTTTAAGAACGATTTAAGATTTCTGTTAACCCTTATACTGCGCGACATCTCTTGGTTAGACGCACTCATAGGCACATATATAAAATATTTGAACTAAAGTTTAATTTGAGTTTATTCTTTGCAAATGAAAATAATAAATGCAGGAAAAAGAAAATATTAAAAAATCATTATACTTCTTTGGATATACAAGATTTTTAATTAATTGAATTAACTTAAAATTCTAAAAATAATGAATCAAGAGTTACCCTTTATTTTTACATTTTCTTTTCTTGTGAAACTGAGAAAAACAGTAAACTAAATATGGGTCACAATGAATTAGGGGCATTTATTTGCAGAACCTTTTTATCTTGTCTTCCACTAGGGAGCCGGTGGCTGAGCGGACAGAACACTGGACGCGTGATCCTGTGGTCCCGGGTTCGATCCCGGGCGCCAGCGAGAAACAATGGGCAAAGTTTCTTTCACCCTGATGCCCCTGTTACCTAGCAGTAAAATAGGTACCTGGGTGTTAGTCAGCTGTCACGGGCTGCTTCCTGGGGGTGGAGGCGTGGTCGAGGACCGGGCCGCGGGGACACTAAACCACCAAAATCATCTCAAGATAACCTCTCAAGATAACCTCTCAAGATAACCACCAGTAATCAAACTGTCAACATCTTGAGCACAAGGAGGCCACTCTGAGTGCTCCCTTCATACCAATAAATTCCCCCGGGAGTCTGGGAAAGTATTTCGCTGAGAGATGATAAATGTCGGATGCTGGACCGTCTGAGAGGAAAGGAAGTGACTAGTGACAGACACAGACAAGCGTGCAAGGGGCGGCCAGGGCGTCAAGCCTGTGCCCCCGAGGCTGCACACACACACACACACACACACACACACACACACACACACACACACACACACACACACACACACACACACACACACACACACACAGCACAACATTCGAGAAAGAGACCTGGGAGTGGATGTGACACCTAATCTAACTCCTGAGGCACATATAAATAGGATAACGACAGCAGCGTACTCTACACTGGCGAAAATTAGAACTTCATTCAGAAACCTAAATGAGGAAGCTTTTAGGGCACTTTACACTGCCTACGTGAGACCCGTCTTAGAGTATGCCGCGCCATCATGGAGCCCCCACCTGAAGAAACACATAAAGAAACTGGAGAAGGTTCAGAGGTTTGCGACGAGGCTTGTCCCAGAGCTACGAGGGATGGGATATGAAGAGCGGCTGAAGGCACTGAACCTTACGACACTAGAGAAAAGAAGGGAGAGAGGAGATATGATAGGGACATATAAAATACTCAGGGGAATTGACAAAGTGGAAATAGATGAAATGTTCACACGTAATAATAACAGAACGAGGGGACATGGGTGGAAACTGGAAACTCAGATGAGTCACAGAGATGTTAGGAAGTTTTCTTTTAGCGTGAGAGTAGTAGAAAAATGGAATGCACTTGGGGAACAGGTTGTGGAAGCAAATACTATTCATACTTTTAAAACTAGGTATGATAGGGAAATGGGACAGGAGTCATTGCTGTAAACAACCGATAGCTAGAAAGGCGGGATCCAAGAGTCAATGCTCGATCCTGCAAGCACATATAGGTGAGTACATATAGGTGAGTACACACACACACACACACACATGGCAACACTGGCTTATACATAACAGGATTCACAAATATCAAAGTAATTACTCCATTTACTGTCAGCAGGTAACTGCACTGAATGAGGCAATTAACTCCTCACTTCAGGTAGAGAGAAAGACTTGTGTGTGGGGGGGGGGGGTGGGGTGTGGGGGGGGGGGGGTGTGGGTGTGGGGGGGGGGTAGAGACAGCTCTAACACCAGAATTACGTCGGAAACTTTAATGGCAGATTAGCCGACCTGGAGCATACCTGGAGAGGGTTTCTAGAGTGGTTCTACTCCCCGAGACCAGCCCGGGGCCAGGCTCGATACCGGATGCGGATACCCATCAGGAACGTGGACACAGGAGTAATTCCAGTCAGTACACTGTCCCGGCATGGAATCCCCCTCCCCCCCTCCCCCTACTCTCTTCAAATGGAACTCTCAAAAACTGAAAATATCGAATGGTATAAAGCGAAGCCATCACCGGAGTAGAGGGAACTGAACTATGAAGAAAGACTGGAGGTAGACATGGACCTCACCGAACTGAAAGAAAGGCGAGGGAGACATGATAACGACATACAAGTTTCAAAAGAGAAACTGAATAGATTATGTTCCAAGCAAGGGCCACGAGAATGAGGAGACATATAGGTGGAAATTGGATATATGAATTAGTAACTGAAAGAACTTCTTCAGTGTCATATTCGTAGCTGATATTTAGAATATATAATATTTAGGTGAAGAATTTGTCCCTACTTATTCACTTTAGAATGATAAAGTTAGATAAGACACACACACACACACACACACACACACACACACACACACACACACACACACACACACACACACACACACACACACACACACACACACACTACAATATGAGTGAATAAGTAATCGCATTTAACTACTGATGGTCGAAGGGCGTGGTTAGTAGACGTGACTCTCAACCCTGTAGGCTCATCGTGGTGGACACACACACACACACACACACACACACACACACACACACACACACACACACACACACACACACACACACACACACACACACACACACACACACACACACACACACACACACACACACACACACACACACTACAGCCCGACACGAGGAAATGGTCAAGCGACTTGGTTAATTAATCACTTCTTGTGTTGGTCATTTTTTTGTGTTCTGTTCCATAGCTCCAAAGGTACGTCGTGTGTGTGTGTGTGTGTGTGTGTGTGTGTGTGTGTGTGTGTGTGTGTGTGTGTGTGTGTGTGTGTGTGTGTGTGTGTGTGCGTGTGTGAGGTGCATTCAACAAGTTGAGTACACGGCCACACCCTGCATCACACACACACACACACACACACACACACACACACACACACACACACACACACACACACACACACACACACACACACACACAGTGACGGTGTGGCCCCCCCCCCCCACGTCCCCTGGATGTAACACACCGTAACAAAACCAGTTTACTAACCTAACCAGAAACGTCCTAACCCAAGCAACCCGCCTAACCCGCGAGTCCGAGATACAGACAAGGCTGGAAAAAGCTTTGCTGGATGTGTCTGGGATGCTCCCGGACACAGGTTCGAATCCTCTCACAGCCCTTGTGGATTTGTTCAAGCTTTGCTGGATATATATCAATGATAACATCATCTGGAACGCTTAGGGGGACTCGAACCCGGGTTCTAAATGACTAGATGCACACTCTAAACCACTAGACCACGACATGGTCAAAAGAATTGCAACCTACTACTGCACCCTCGAGGATACCTGAGTCTTCCATGGAAGCCAAACCCCGACATAGTCGACTAGAATTTGCATCTGGGAACACCCAGTGCATAGGTTCGAATCCTCATTACGGCTCCTGTGGATTTTCTCATTGATTTATCGCGGTAATGTGATTTCTCTGTGTAATAATAATCAGAAGAAGAAGAAAGAGAAGTTAAACTACACAAGGAGTCTTAGCCTCTAAGTGGATCTTCCATAAACATATATGTGTCTAGCCTACGCTTGAAACAATCCAGAGAATCAAATATCTATTATCTTACCCGGTAATTTGTCTCATAACTCATCATCCCCTATTTTCAAACCAGTATTTACCCCAGGACTTTCCTGAATCAAAGAAATGTAACAATTGAATCCTCTGCCGATTATTATCCATTATTACTAAATTGTGTTGATTGTTTCGTTTGTTGTTGTTTTAGATTTAGCTACTCAGAACGAAGTGTCCATGTAGCACGGGCTATGGTGAGCCCGTAATACATTGTGTTGATATAGTTAACACCTCATATACCTCCGGCTTGTTATAACCACTCACTCACCCTTGGCATAGACATGAATAATGTCACCCTTACTCGTCACCTTTCTGTCACCCTTACTCGTCACCTTTCTGTCACCCTTACTCGTCACCTTTCTGTCACCCTTACTCGTCACCTATCTGTCACCCTTACTCGTCACCTTTCTGTCACCCTTACTCGTCACCTTTCTGTCACCCTTACTCGTCACCTTTCTGTCACCCTTACTCGTCACCTTTCTGTCACCCTTACTCGTCACCTTTCTAGAGAAAAAGGAAATTAAGTTTTTAATGTCTCCATGAATCTCCATAAGGGCGATTTCTAATTCCCGAGACTAACTGTCTCTTCCTTCTCTTTATATTTCGGAAGAATATCTGTCCATTCTACAGTAGGACGCCTCACACCAACGTGCATAATGTTATTGTTCTATTGCTATTATCCTTCTAACGAATCCTCATATCCTATCTGTCTCATTTGGAACACTTAGACATATATATATTTCAAGGTTTAAAACCCTTATGCCATCCGTGACCCCACCACAGGTCGCCATCGTGTTTAGATCTGTCAACATCACCATTACCAGGCGGTTTCTGCTCACTCTATTATCATATACAAGTAAAAGATATTTATATTTTTTAAATTAAAACGCATCAGTATTGTCTTGTCCACTTAAAAGGCCCCTCAGTCAGTTTTTGTAATTCTTTGTGACATATTTTCCGGCCTTTTTTGGTTTTATTGTCGAGTGTGTTGCCGTCGCTGCTCAGTCGCGGGTGTGACTATAAATAAAGTTTGATGTTCAGTTCCTGAGCCCCATTATGAGCCCCCATTATGTAATATTTTCCACTGCCGCCCATGGGATGGGTATGGGGGTTCACTACCGCGCATGGGATTGGTATGGGGGTCCACTACCGCCCACGGGATGGGTATGGGGGTCCACTACCGCCCACGGGATGAGTATGGGGTCCACTACCGCCCACGGGATGGGTATGGGGGTCCACTACCGCCCACGGGATGGGTATGGGGGTCCCACTACCATCCACGGGATGGGTATGGGGGTCTACTACCGCCCACAGGATTGGTATGGGGGTCCACTGCCACCCACGGGATGGGTATGGGGGTCCACTACCGCCCACGGGATGGGTATGGGGGTCCCACTACCATCCACGGGATGGGTATGGGGGTCCACTACCGCCCACAGGATTGGTATGGGGGTCCACTACCGCCCACGGGATGGGTATGGGGGGCACTACCATCCACGGGATGGGTATGGGGGGCCCACTACCGCCCACGGTATGGGTATGGGGGTCCACTACCGCCCACGGGATGAGTATGGGGTCCACTACCGCCCACGGGATGGGTATGGGGGTCCACTACCGCCCATGGGATGGGTATGGTGGTTCACTACCGCCCACGGGATGGGTATGGGGGTTCACTACCGCCCACGGGATGGGTATGGGGTCCACTACCGCCCACGGGATGGGTATGGGGGTCCACTACCGCCCACGGGATGGGTATGGGGGGTCCACTACCGCCCACGGGATGGGTATGGGGGTCCACTACCGCCCACGGGATGGGTATGGGGGTCCACTACCGCCCACGGGATGGGTATGGGGGTCCACTACCGCCCACGGGATGGGTATGGGGGGTCCACTACCATTCACGGGATGGGTATGGGGGTCCACTACCGCCCACGGATGAGCTGTAAAATCATTGACTGTCCGAATATGTTTATGAATAGAGGCGCCAGGACCCAGCTGCTGTGGCCAGCGGTCACCCATCCAGACACTAGCCTCGTGATCACAGTGTTCCCTTCAAGAGTCACCTCCTAGTCCACCATCAGACTATCCATCTCTACTATCAACATAATCCTTACAATAATAATAACCGTATTATTATTAAGTAATAATAATAATATTTTTTTGTATTAGTAGTAGTAACAATATTATTGATATTGGCCTTTGTGTTATAATATAATTCAAAGGATAATATTAATTATGAACAAATAGGTTACAAGAGAAAACGGGAATAAAACTGTTAATGACAGACTAACCAAAACTCAATGGTCCAGCCTCAGACCTCAATGGCCCAGCCTCAGACCTCAATGGCTCAGCCTCAGACCTCAATGGCCCAGCCTCAGACCCAAAATCTAAGACCGTGGGGAGGATTTACTGGGCGCAATTCCTTAACTGTAGCCTCTGTTTAACGCAACAGTAAAATGTGTACTTGGATGAAAAAACGATTCTTCGCGGCAGGGGATCGTATTCCAGGGACCGTAGGATTAAGGACTTGCCCGAAACGCTACGCGTACTAGTGGCTGTACAAGAATGTAACAACTCTTGTATATATCTCAAAAAAAAAAATAAATAAAACCGTCCCAAACCTTGCGCTAAAGCTCCGCCCTCGTCAGTAGACACCAGGGCCCCCAAGCTCCGCCCTCGTCAGTAGACACCAGGGCCCCCAAGCTCCGCCCTCGTCAGTAGACACCAGGGCCCCCAAGCTCCGCCCTCGTCAGTAGACCCCAGGGGCCCCCAAGCTCCGCCCTCGTCAGTAGACCCCAGGGGCCCCCAAGCTCCGCCCTCGTCAGTAGACCCCACGGGCCCCCAAGCTCCGCCCTCGTCAGTAGACCCCACGGGCCCCCAAGCTCCGCCCTCGTCAGTAGACCCCAGGGGCCCCCAAGCTCCGCCCTCGTCAGTAGACCCCAGGGGCCCCCAAGCTCCGCCCTCGTCAGTAGACACCAGGGCCCCCAAGCTCCGCCCTCGTCAGTAGACCCCAGGGGCCCCCAAGCTCCGCCCTCGTCAGAAGACCTCAGGGCCCCCAAGCTTCGCCCTCGTCAGTAGACACCAGGGCCCCCAAGCTCCGCCCTCGTCAGTAGACCTCAGGGCCCCCAAGCTCCGCCCTCGTCAGTAGACACCAGGGCCCCCAAGCTCCGCCCTCGTCAGTAGACACCAGGGCCCCAAGCTCCGCCCTCGTCAGTAGACACCAGGGCCCCCAAGCTCCGCCCTCGTCAGTAGACACCAGGGCCCCCAAGC